AGCTCATTTTGGGGTATTACCTTTAACTCTGTAGTTGACTAGTTCTCAGACTTGTACTCGACCCTTAACAATAGGGTAAGGGGGTAATATCCCATAATGAGCGTGCTAAAATTCGAGCACAGTATTGGTATACTTCAAGAGATGTTTAAATTATGAGACTACATTATGCATTAACTTATACTGTTATAATTGCGCATAGTAAAAAAAAAGCTTAAAATTGTGTTAGTACCTTTACTATACTTTAATTTAATCGTACGCATGAACAATCAATAACTTAGAATAATTTGATGATGTTGCAGACTGCTCCAAGTGGATGTAGCCTTCTACATGACAACCATTACTGGATATCTAGCAAGCGGATTGTAACGCAGGACGGTGTCATTTCTGGTGCAGGTTTGTCTATAACTCTAATAGTTTTTTTCCGTTGAAGATGGTTTTTAGTTTACCTTGATTGAATTTGACAAGATCATACGCAAGAGTTGAAGAAAGAAGTTAAGAAACCTCGTCGCTAATTAAACTTTTCCCATACTACCAATTAATCATATTTCTTCGATGCGCACAATTTAAACAGTTGAGATAAAAGATGGCAAAGTCTTTAGCCTTGTTAAAGAAGAAGATTGGCATGGATATATCAGGAAGGGTCAAATAGTTGATTTTGGGGAGGCTGTTGTCATGCCGGGCCTAATTGATGTGTAAGATATCTACCCGAGAGACCTGAATTGCATTGCATTTGCATCATTTTTACTTAATAACGAACCAACATAAGTTGAATCCTTTCGTGTTATCTTGTGCTTCATAGATGAATATAAGTTATTTCTTGTTCCTTTCATCTCAAGGAGCAAGTGCAATCAGTGCTAGACTAAGACTTTCTTGATTAGTTTATCTCAATGAAATGTTTTATTCCTCTATTTTCAACAACTTATTTGTTTTCCTGACTCCAGGCACGCGCATTTAGATGATCCTGGAAGAGAGGAGTGGGAAGGATTTCCTTCTGGTACCAGAGCTGCTGCTGCTGGTACTTCAATCTTTCCCCTGTGTTTTGTGATTGCAATTCCCTTTCATCTGCATGCTACACTATGCTGGTTGTTAAGCATATATCGAAACTGAATAATATTTTGACAGGTGGGATAACGACCCTGATAGACATGCCTTTGAACAGTGAACCTTCAACAATTTCAGAGGAAACTCTTAAGCTTAAGGTAATGATTTATGCAAAACTTGTCATTTTGTTATTTGACCAAAGTTATAAACATGTTGCTAATTAGTCCTTGTCTAAGCCTGTAAGGTATTACTACGTAACTGTAGTAGCATTCATTGCATATCCGTTACATATACTAGCCGTCTGTGTAAAAAGCTAAAAACCTAATATGAAACTTTATCTGTGTGTTGAACAGATCAATGCTGCAAAGAACAGAATTTTTGTTGATGTTGGTAAGCTCCGGAAGTCATGTTTAATTTTATTTCCCTTGTGTGTTTGTGTCAAATAGAGTTTTTAACTTGGGATCATTGCTATAGGTTTCTGGGGTGGTCTAGTGCCTGATAATGCCCTCAATGCCACTGCTTTAGAACGTTTCCTTAGAGCTGGTGTTCTTGGTTTAAAGGTAAGAATGTCATTGTTATTCTTTTGTTTGCTCCTGAGTTTTGCATTAGATTTTGGAGATCGAAGTACCACAATCATTTACTGACACTTTCTCCTACAGTCTTTCATGTGTCCATCAGGAATCAATGACTTCCCCATGACAAACATTACCCATATTAAGGTGATTGTTATCTTCCTTAGTAATCTTCTCTGTTCTGATTTTCCTCTGCTTGGATACCATTATGCTTCTTCTACGTTTGCATTAACGTTGAATCTGTATATTGGTTCTGTAGGAAGGACTGTCTGTTTTGGCTAAATTCAAAAGACCGTTGCTTGTACATGCAGAAGTTCAACAAGATTTTGCAGACAAGTCAGTGAAGGACGATAAGAAAGATGCTCGATTATATTCAACCTACCTTGAGACAAGACCCCCGTCAATGTAAGTTACTCCGTATGTCTTAGCTTATTATGCTAAAGAATGCAGATTTTTGAGCCTAAAATACATAGATGACCCCTCATGCAAGGAGTGTTACTGTTTCTTAACTAGTCTATAGATTGGATGTTGCTCGTGCTCTTATTGAACTGTCATTACTCTTTACTATGCTAGGGAGGAGGCAGCTATTAGAAATCTTTTGACAGTAAGCGAAAACACAAGAGCTGGTGGTCCTGCAGAAGGAGCTCATCTTCATATTGTCCATCTTTCTGATGCTCAATCTTCTTTAAACCTTTTGAAGGTATATATTACCATTTTTCACAATCCTTGTGAATGTGTAAAAATGATTAATGTTTTAGTTATCCTGCAACATAATACAATGCCTGTTAGTAGTTTCCTGTGTTTTTAAAATTCTTTTGTTGCAGAATGCAAAGGCTAGAGGTGACAGCATAAGCATAGAAACATGTCCTCATTACCTGTCATTTTCCGCGGATGAGATTCCTGATGGAGATACACGATTTAAGTGTGCTCCTCCTATCCGAGATGCTGAAAACAAAGAAAAATTGTGGGAGGCTTTGAGGGTATTTTTCTGAACCAACATACATATTTATATATGCATTAGGTTTTGATGACTTGTTTCAAATTACAATCAATGAATTGGATTTTCTTGATTTTTCTGCTATATTAGGGTGGAGATATCGATATGCTGAGTTCTGACCATTCACCAGCACTCCCAGACCTTAAACTTCTACAGCAGGGTGATTTCTTGAAGGCATGGGGTGGAATATCATCTTTGCAGGTCTGTCCATTCTAAATTATGAAGTATCGCGCTATTATCATTATTATTATCTCAGTATCCTGACTTGTTCATTCAGCTAAAACAATCTCCTTCAATTATGTGCAGTATGTCCTTCCTGCAACATGGACTTCTGGTCGTAAATATGGAGTAACATTTGAACAAATAGCTTCATGGTGGAGCGAGAAACCAGCCAAACTTGCTGGCCTACCTTTAAAGGTGCAGTAACAAAAGTTTAATATAATGGTTATCCAAGTTTATTTTTAACTGTATTGATTTTAATCAGCTCCTTTAACCTATGATAAGCATTTTCCAGGTGAAAAGAACGAAGTTTAGGACTAATGCATGAATTCAGACACAAACTCAAACATTAATCTAACCTGAGCTTATGAACATGTGCAGGGGTCTATTGCAGTTGGGAATTACGCAGATATAGTTGCATGGGAACCCGAAACAGATTTTGATCTTGACCAAAATCATCCTTCATACTTCAAGCATCCTGTAAGTTACTACATTTAACAACTGTAGAATGAAACACTTAAAATTGTGCTATATGCTTTTTATCAACTTGTCTCCCCAATTTTAATTAATTCATTGATTTCATATATTATAGAGCATCTCAGCTTACGTGGGAAGAAAACTTTCTGGTAAAGTATTGGCAACATTTGTTAGGGGAAATCTCGTGTACAAGGAAGGAAAACATGCTCCTGCAGCCTGTGGAAACCGTCTTTTAGCAAAATAGCCGCGGCTGGATGCCTGGATTATTTAAGGTAATTTGCTAATCTGTTTTTTTGCTGATAGACCACTTGTTTTCCTAATCTTTGCCTTAGAAATCTGAATGCTATTAACCCTTTTCTTTGCCTCAGAAATCTGAATGCTATCAACTAAATCTAACTCTTGTTCTTGTCTTTTATTTCAGGTGGCCGGGCACAAATTGTGTAGATGATTGCTTGTTGTACAGTTGAAGATGACTGAAAATCAGCAGACCAAAATGTACATAGTATTTAAGCGTACAGCATCTTCACCGAGGAATTCTATTCTTGGAGATTCAATGTTGGAATTCGATGTAGGTATACCGCGAAGTTTTCGTGGGTTTGATAATGTCAACAAAAGTTTTGGTTGCAGAACTGGGATATTGTACAAAATTGAACTGCAATTACCAACCTTTTCGTGCATTGTGTTTTTCAATGAATGAACTATAGGGAGAAACACAAGGTTAATATGACAAACTGTCAACGATTAAAAGGGAATAACATGAATTGTTCTTGTTGCAATTCCTTTCAAATGAACAAAAATAAGGTGCAGAATTGAGTCAATTAATAAGAAAAAATAAAATCACAAAGATATTCATCTAACATAACAATATGAAAGTATATGAAAAATAATGCTACCGCCATTTATCATGAAGATAAACTTGTATTTTCTCTGTTCAATTGCAAATATATATCTCTAACTATTAGTATTATTTAAGTATTCTGTATCTGCGTTAGTACAAATTTACAAGATTAGTGTGAGACATGAATCCATAATTACATTTTCCTACAAAGGTCTCTGGGAGCCCCCTGTCAAGATCTCTAAAATTATTAAATTGAATCACCTCTTGATTGGCAAGCCAATCCGTCATATGATCTTCTTCACGATAAATATGATTTGCTTTCACCTCCCAATCCTCCTTGCTATTCGCATCACCTCGTAGACTAACACAGATGCTAGACTATCCAATAGGATAATCTATTGATGTGAATATTACGAGCCAACTCCAATCCTTTTACAAGTGCCATATTTCAACACGGAAAACTTAACGACTTCCAAAACTATCAGAGAAGATGCAATAAACATTGAGTATTCAAAGATACATCAAATTGAATACAAAAGTAACTAAGGGAACTTATGGTGTGTTTTATTTAGTTAATTTTCATTTATCTGAACCTACCTAATTATTTGTGTTTTTTTTTATTTATTTTTTATTTTATTATTTTCATTAAAACTTAGGTCCCATTCATTTCACCTTAAAAAAATAATGTTCTATAAAAATAATTTCAGTTCAGTAAAATTAATTTAAATTCAGTAAAAATAAATTCAGTTCAGCAAAAATAAATTCAGTTCAGCAAAAATAATTTCAATTCAGTAAAAATAATTTCATAAAAATCAGTAAAGTTAAAGAAGAAATATAATAGTAAATCAATAAAAATAATTTCAGTTTATCAAAAATAAAATGAAGTGAACGGGACCTAATTGTACAAAGTATTTGTAATTTAAACTTAGATAACCCTTAGGGCTTAGCATAACTTATTTTTCCTCGCACACTTGGTTAAGTGCTAAATAAAACGGTGCGTTTAATAAAAACCAATCACCAACCATTCAAATGTGATAACATTCAAAAAAATCAAACAATCTTTGGCTCCTCCAATGGAGCTCAAACTCTCACTCTCACTCTCCTTCACCACCCTTCTCCACCACCCTCAACAGCGTTTCTCTCTCCTCCACCGCCATCACAACCACCGTAAACTCTCCTGCCAACTTTCTCTCTCCTCCAACTCCTCCCAACTCTCCGACGAGCTTCAACGCCAAACCCTAGAAACTCTCGAATGGAATCGTCTCTGCAATCACCTCTCCCCCTTCATTTCCACCACTATGGGCCTCTCCCTGGCCCAAAATGGGTCCATTCCTATGGGCCGGACCTTGGATGAGAGTCAGAGGCTCCTGGCCCAAACTACTGCTGCATTGGGCCTCCACACTCCTCTGGACTTCTCTGGTGTTGATGATGTTTCTGGCGTTGTGGAGATGGCTGCTTCCGGTGAGATGCTTTCTATCGGGGAGCTTTGTTCGGTGAAGCGAACGTTGCGGTCGGCGAAACGATTGTTTGAGCAGTTGCTGGAGATTTCTTCTGATGATGATGGAAGGTTAGTTAGTTTTGTTATTTTTTGATTGAATTTAGTGTTAATGATATTTTGTGTAAATTTGCATTTATTGATTGTTGGTGATTATTATTGTTCTTGTATAGTTCTGCTATATTATTGTTAAAGGCAATTCATTTTATTGGGTTCTTGGAATCGATGGGTTCGAAATCGAACGGGAATTAAGAGGTGCTTATTGTTAATTGTTGTGTTAGTTGAATTGCAAGGTAGATTGGTTAGCAGAAAATCAATGTACAATAGTATATGACGAGGGACGGGGGGAGTCCGAGTTTATCTTCAAGGTAAACATTTTTCGTTTATCAAATGGTAAAGTTAGTAATATTTTGGGGTAAACCTGGGTAAACCACTAATACTAGTAGTGATTTTAGGCTAAAACCGCTAATGGTGTTAGCGGTTCTACCTATGAATAGTGCAAAATTATGCCATCTAATTACAAATTTGCCACTTGATAAACAATGGCTAGTTATCAAGATGATAAACTTGTATTTTTTCATATATGATGCAATCAAATTTTTAAGTTAAGAAATTAGTAATGTTTAAATTAGGAATGTTTCAGTAAGGCTGTCTCTGGCTGGGAAGAGATGAGTTTTGAGGAATGAGTTTATTATTTGAGTAGTTTTGGAAAACATCTTCCCCTCAGGCCTCAACCAAATGTGGTGTAAAGAAAGTACTCCCCCATCCTTAATAGTTGTCACATTGTCTGTGAATGTACTCCTCTATCCCGAATAGTTGTTACATTTTCTGTGGAAAATTAAAAAATTTATCAGATTTTTCTTGAATAAAGAATATATGACGTAGGATTTTCTGTCGAAAAGTAGGTGCTATCTTAGTCTGAATAGCTTGTTCTTTCCGCATGCAATAATCTTGCTTTGTTTTCGTGCCTTCTTAAGGGTTTGTTTTGCTTTCTTTTGTGGATGGACTTGCTGGAGGGACTTTTTTTTGAAAAGTTATCCGCTACCATTCATTATGTTATGTAATAGATTAGTGTAGGGAAAAAGGCTCTTTTAGTATTGCATCGCTGGCTGTTAGAATTAGCTTGAGGAATAAGGCAAAGACTTAGTTAGAATAGAGAAAGTGAAATTTAAAAGGAAATTGCTAGGATAGAGAAGATTAAGCATGGAAGTAATCAGAAAGTGGCCGAGCCTTATAATGCTCTGATGATCTTGTAGTTGGGAGTGTCTAGCCATTCCAAGGCCTGAGATTGTAGCAACATTGTTAATGAATTAATTGCATCAGAACCACAATCAACTATGAATTTCGTTTTATTACTCCTTACAATTATGTGTAGAAATTATTTTCAAATTGACTATTAATATTAACTTGTATAAATTTTAATTAAGTAAAGATATTAATAGTCAAAAGCATGTCTTGGAGATAGTGTAAAGGCAAATGTTAAGCTTATTGTGAAACAAAAGGAGTAATGAGAATTCCAATTATTCTCTCTGGGCTTCCTTCTCCAAAATTCTATTTTATTACATTGTCCTTAACTAGTCCATAGGAGTTTACTTAGCTTTATCTGTTGAAACAGGAGCTATCCTTTGCTTGAAATTCTCCAAAATTGCAATTTCTTGGTTGAATTGGAGCAGAAGATGGAATATTGTGTAGACTGTAAACTTTCAATAGTGCTGGATAGAGCCAGCGAAGACTTGGAGTTCATTAGGTCAGAAAGGAAGAAGAACATGGATGCCTTAGATTCTCTTTTAAGAAGTGTTTCACATAAAGTATTTCAAGCTGGAGGTATTGACAAAGCTGTGGTCACAAATCGTAGATCTAGGATGTGCGTTGGTATCAAAGCCTCTCATAGATCTTTGCTTCCCGGTGGTGTTGTTTTAGATATTAGTAGTTCTGGAGCAACATACTTCATGGAACCTAAAGAGGCAGTGGACTTGAACAACATGGAAGTCTGGCTGGCCAATTCTGAAAAGGATGAGGAACGAGCTATTTTAAGTATGCTTGCTTCTGAACTTGGAAAGTCAGCAGCAGCTGTCAATGATTTGTTAGATAGAATCCGAGAGATTGATCTTGCAGTTGCAAGAGCTGGTTATGCTAATTGGTTAGAAGCAAAATGTCCTATTTTATATTCAGTTACTAATGATGATGCTTTATTGGTGGATGTTGAAGGGATTAGACATCCCTTGCTACTTGAACCATGTTTGGGTAGCTTGAAGGATGTATCAGTACCCAAATCAGGGAATTCAGATAACTTAAATGGGGAAGCTGGTATAAAATCCTTCAAAGAGCTGCCTGATGAAATGTATAAGTTTCCTGTTCCAATAGACATTAGAATTGGACATAAAACCAATGTGGTGATCATCTCAGGGCCAAACGCAGGTGGGAAAACTGCTTCCATGAAAACTTTAGGACTTGTGTCTCTAATGTCAAAGGCTGGCCTGTATTTGCCAGCTAAAAGTATTCCCAAGCTCCCCTGGTTTGATTTAGTTCTGGCAGATATAGGAGATCATCAGGTAGGATTTTCTCTCTTCTATATCAGCTGATTAGTCACAAGTATTGTTACATTCATTCTAAACTCTTCCTTATCCCCCCTTTTTCTGATTGAAGTCCTTGGAACAAAGCCTTTCTACTTTTAGTGGCCACATTTTGCGAATTGGCAAGATTTTGGAGGTGGCTTCAAAAGATTCACTTGTCCTAATTGACGAAATTGGGAGTGGGACTGATCCTTCAGAAGGAGTAGCACTTTCTTCCAGCATCTTACAATATCTAAAAGATAGAGTGAGTTTAGCTGTTGTAACCACCCATTATGCTGATTTAAGCTGCCTAAAGGACATGGACGCTCGATTTGAGAATGCAGCTATGGAGTTTTCTCTGGACACTCTACAGCCTACCTTTCAGGTCTTATGGGGATCTTCTGGTGAATCAAACGCCTTGAGAATTGCTAGGAGAATTGGCTTTGATGATAAGATTATTGATCATGCAGAAAGCTGGCTTGAGAGGTTGATGCCAGAAAAGCAGGCACAGAGAAAAGGTCTGCTATATCAGTCTTTATTGGAGGAGAGAAATAGGATGGGTGAACGGGCTAGACTAGCTGCGTCCCTTCATTCTGATGTAATGGATCTTTATCATGAGGTAAGAAATTTGAGATCTGCCCTGTTAGACCTTTTATGAATCATTGTTAAGTGACTTTAGTCCCCATTTGCTTTAATGTGTAGACTATAGAACCTGTTTACTGGGGTTTACTCTTTTGGTTGAATTTGGTGATATAATTTGGGTTGGGTCCAAACATCATTGGATGATGTGGGTAGATGAGTTTTCTTTTGATAGCTAATGATTTGGATGTTGCATAAGTTGCTGACCACTGGTAACTTTTGAATATTTCTTTTTGGCAAATGGATGCATCTACATTCTTTTGAACAAACTAGATGATGTGCAATGAATTACTTGAATCTTTCAATTCAATCCTACCAATAGCACGATATTAATTGGAGAACAAATTTATGGCAGTGTTGGACTTAGCGATTTTATGGATAATTTTGATAACATTTTGGTCCAAAATGAAGTACTCCCTCCGTTCCCGAAAGTTTGACTCACTTTGCATTTGCACGGTCTCCAATGAACATCTTTGACCATGAATATCTTTGGCTATGTATAAGTGAAAATTATAAAAAGTTGATATTTGAAAAATTTATAATAAGGGGAATCTAATAAGATCCCATATGCTAATTTATTTATATTGTATAAGTCATTAAATGTGGTCAAAGTTATCTAATTTTGACCCTATGAATAGTAAGTGAGTCGAATCAGAAACGGAGGTAGTATAAAGTTCCATATCCATGTTAGAGTCTGGGCAACTAGTATGGATAATTACGGAGGGAGTAAGATTAAACATAATCAATTAAACTATTAATCTATTCAAGCCCCTTTTACAAACCAAATCAATTGAAAACTAACTATTATTGCTGTTACACAAATTTTCTTTTTCACTTTTTTTCCACACAGAGTTATTCCATAATTCTACGAGCGCTTTTGACAAACATGCTGTATTTTCAAGAGGAGGATGATCTGATCCATACCATTAGCAGTCTATAACAATTTCAATTCTTTGTATTAGTTTTTAATAAAAAGATGTTTTTTTCCCTATTCCTAAAAACCTGTGCAATAAAGGGTTTTAATCTACATGTTTAATTTTCGAAGTTCATCTTGAATTCTTTTTAATTGAAAAATCTTTGTCAGGATTTCCAATAAAAGAGCTATGGCAGAACTGTGGGAGTGTGATACCTTTTAAGTGTAATAAAATATATTGATTAATTAAATTCTATGTAGTACTCATGTCAAATATGTGAACAAACTACTTTTTTTTTTTTTTCTTCTGTTTTTTGCATAATTTAAGCTTGAAGTCTTTTGTGCTTTCTGCTGTCAAATGAGGAACTTTATCTAAACTCCATTCTACTGTCTAAATGTTTCTCTTGAATTTTTGAAGATTGAAGTTGAAACTCAAGATCTTGAATGGCGTGAGAAGGCTCTGATTGCAAAGGAGACCCAGCAAGTTGAAGAAGAACTTGATCTTGTGAAATCAAAGTTAGAAGCTGTAGTCCAGGAGTTTGAGAATCAATTAATAATTGCTGATATTTATCAGTATGGATCTCTTGTGAAAAAGGCTGAATCAACAATTGGAACTTTGGTAGAAAGTCATCGTCCTATGTTGGATAGGGTTTCTGAAGATTTGGTAGTTATGCATACACCTCAACCTGGTGAGCAGGTCCATGTGAAACGTTTAGGAGGTAAGCTAGCTTCTGTGGTTGAGGTGTCTGAAGATGATGAAACTGTTCTCATCCAGCATGGAAAAGTAAGATTCCGCGTGGATAAAAGTGGTATCCAACCAACTGAAGGTATTGCTGCTGACGCACGCTCACTTGTGAAGAAGCAGGTACTATGCACTCTTATGACATTTCTTGTCTCTCCGAACTACTCTTAACATTTACAAGTTTTATATTCTGTTTGACCAAAGAATCAATATGGATTCTGTGTAAAGAATAGCAAATGAATGCACTTCTTTTCAGGCAAAAATGGAATTGTGCCAATTATGATGTTTAGCGATCTCAACTCTTGAATATCATTGCAAATTTATAAAGTTTTCTCTTCTATGTATGTTGTTTTATATGGACTGAAATTGAATGCAAAAAAGAGGGGAGGCTATTTATCTATTTTATTTTCCATGCGTCTTTGACCCTTTTGTAGATTACATGATTTTTGTCGTTTCTTATTATCTTTCTTTCTTTCTTTGTTGTTATTGTTGCTGACTATACGGAATAATAACTTTTGGTTCATGTAGCCGACCCCACGTATGAGATTAAGGCTTTGATTTATTGATTGTTGTTTTGGCTGGCCTTGTGCAGTTTTCATACAAAATACTTGCAGTTTCTTTATGTGAATAAGTTACATGAATACCCTTTTTTAAAACTTTTATTAATTAATCCTTTATGTAGGGAAAGAATAAGAACAGGAAAACACCAATTATTTTTATAATTTTCCCCGGTAGTATTTTTACCAATCTTTATGTATATATGTGGCTATTTAGTTTTTCTTTCTCTTGCAAATTACTGGTAGAAACCTGGCACATACTTTAGGGTATCCAAGAAAAAAAAGTTAGGAGATATAATTGTTCTGTTTGTGTTGGCTGTGGACCTGTGGTGTTGTTTACTTAATTGAACTGCCTGATCTGGTATGGATTGTGGATTATCTAGGCTAGTTGGTGTTAAATATTGAAATTTGTATTGTTGTGACTTGTGAGGAACAGTTGCTTAAGGTTATTTTTTATCTACTGTTGTCTATATAGGGTCGTATGCCAGGGAAATTGAATTATTTAGGTGGTAAGAAAGACGAGGAATTATCTTATGGAGCAGCTGTACAGACTTCAAAGAATACTCTTGATCTTCGAGGCATGAGGGCGGAGGAAGCTTCTCATGCACTTAGTATGGCTATAGCAGCAAGGGAATCTCACTCTCTTCTCTTTATCATACATGGAATGGGCACTGGAATACTCAAAGAATGTGTGATTGAGATGCTGAGGAACCATCCTCGTATTGAGAAATTTGAGCAAGAAAGTCCAATGAACTATGGCTGTACTGTTGCATATATTAAGTGAAAAATTTTGTACATTCACAGCCAACGAATTCAGTCTGATAGAAGTAAAGACTTCAACTGTTTGGCTTACCTTAAGATGTTTCATGTACAGTGAGATCTTATACAATAATATTCTCTATGTAGGCTTCAATTGAAGCCTTTTCATCAATTTCTTCTTTGGTAATTTCTGTGTGCATAAATGTACCATAGACAGAATCTGCTCTGTCCTATTCTAATTGTGATGTTTTGTTCATACATCCTCTTGTAACAACTTTTGCAGTAAGACTAATTGTTATTAGACCTGTAATGTATTTCTGTTAGATGAAATTAGTAGAACCTTAATGATGGTTAGTATTTACTGTTAGGTATCGAACAGGCTTGTTATATTATTATAATTTCACCAGATTCGAATAGGAGGAAGCTTCAGTGTGGGGGTAGGAGGTGTGTCTTTGGTCTTATCTGATGGTGCAAAAGGAATAACAGAAGCTTGTGGGAGTTCTGCTCAATTTCCAGCCAGTAAACTGCTAAACTCCTCTGCTTTTAATGTGCATAACTATCACTCTTAATGGTTTTGATCTCTGTCAATATTTAGCTTCATGATCGTGCCTGTGTTAAATTCTTTGTGCTTTTTTTATTTGACTGATACATAGGCATCTGCGCACAGGCTTCATCTATTTGAACGTGCTAGGCTGATCAGCTTTATTCATTCACTATGCTAGTTGAAAGCAACTGCTTGTATAGGAGCTGATGGAAATACTTAAGATGTTGCAGATCAAGTAAACTTGCTCACAAACTTCACTGATTACTTGTGTGTCGAGTGCTGCAAACTGGGACAGAGCCAGTCATCGAGGGAGATAATTGTAGACAACAGAGAATCTCTGATCTGGTTAGACATTTTTACTAGCTAATTATTTTTAATCTAAGATGCAAGAAAATCTGGGAGTTGATAATTAAGGTTAGAAACACTAAATATTCATAAGATTTGACTAAAACGTATATAGTCTTCAAATCGCTCAGCAAGTTGCTAGGCTTCTGGTTTATAGTTATGCTGAGGAGATAATACCATGCGATGCCATAATATACAAGTTGGGGAGTTTTCTGAAGATTGTAGTTGTTCAGACAATTTGGGATCTATGTTTAAGCTACCTTACCATAACCAAATTATTAATTCATGTATCAAGTATCAACCATTATAGGAGGTTTAGTGCTTTATTGTATAAATCATAGAAACAGAGCATGCTGTTTTCTGCTGCTAATTCTACACCAGATTGAAACCAGCAAGAAACACCTTAGCTGCAAGCTTTATTTTGATGATGGAGCATGAGCTCGTATCACTGCTCTGCTCTCAGTCACCATGTAAATTGTCCTCATTCCTTCTGTTTGAATGCTGGGAGCCCAGGGGTTGCCCCTTTGTAGGTGTAGCAGAATCAAACAAATTGTCAAAGTAGGGAGGCTGTATAGAGAAGCCATCCCCAGCTTGTGTGTAATGGTCTCCATCAAGAAGTTTCCAACCACTGCCCCCACCCCAGCCCCATCCTTCACCCCCTCCGTATCCAGGATACCCTCCCATTCCTTCACCCCCTCCGTATCCAGGATACCATCCCATGCCACCTCCTCCACTGCCCCAGCCGTTGCCTCCTCCACTGCCCCAGCCACTGCCTCCTCCATAACCACTCCCATAGCCACCACTTCCACCGCCTCCACCGCCCCAGCCACCTTCACCACTCCCCCAGCCTTCACCACCTCCATAGCCACCACTACCCCAACCTTGACCACTTCCTTCACCAAAACCACCGCCACCCCAACCTTCACCACTTCCACTTCCTCCTCCAGAACCGCTACCCCAGCCTCCGCTTCCACTGCCTTCACCGAAACCACCACTACCCCAACCTTGACCAGCCCCTCCACCTCCACTTCCCCAACCTTGACCGATTCCACTGCCTTCACCGTAGGAACCACTGCCACCCCACTAACCACTCCCACTTCCTCCACCTGAACCACCTATACCCCAACCCTGACCGCTTCCACTTCCTCCAAAACCACTACCCCAACCCTGACCATTTATAGGCAAACCATTGCCCCAACCTTGACCTCCTCCTCTACCATGAGAAATAATGGGAACATGAAAGCCTGGGAAACGTGCAATACCAAAACCAGGGATGGCGGGGTTGAAGATGTGCATTCTCAAGTAACCACTACCCCCTCCTCTACCTCCCCCATTGCCGTAGCCAAAGCTTTTTCCGAAACTATGTCCTGTTTCTGATATCTTTTCAGTAAATGTATCTTTACCATTTGACCTATCAGTATCCTCTTGTAACAGTCTTGCAGCAGAGTAGAGGGAAAGGGATGAAGTGAGTATTAAAACCAACAGAGAGAGAGAAGCCCATTTTGAAGGTGCCATTTTCAGCTTATAGTTCTGCTATGGATTAAGGGGCTTAAATAGTTGTAGCAGTAGGCTCATAGCTCAGAGGCTGAAGATATCTATACGTAATTGTACATGTTTTCTTGCAGTTTGTCCTTAAAATCTGGATTCATGCCAGTGGCATGGTGGTAGGAAAGCATCAAGCATCTTCTTGTTGATCATGCTGTTTTTGTCCGTGCAACTTATTTCAATTCAGAAAATCTTGTGTAATGCCATTATGTAACATTTTTTATTAAAGGCCAGATATTCTTTCAGACATACTATGATTTACGATCTTGGATTATTTCATTTTTGACTTTAAAGATTAATCCAAGTCTTTTTCTAGTAATTTCTGTGGTTTATAAGTGTAAGATTTGATGAGTTGTTAACTTAGTTTTGAAATCTATCTCATCAAAATTCCATTAATACTGTGATACGATCTCATAAGTTCATAACACACTGAATATTTTTATCTAAATTAGTAAAAACAGCTATGAGAAAACCACACCAAATTTGCTGATTGTCTGCCAATTTTACCTCAACCAAGTTCTTTCACCAGTTTTAATCCACACATATAAGATTAGAGGATATCTTTGAAGTTCAAACACCCAAGTACAGAAGTGCAGAGTTACTACCCCCCCAAAAAAAACCCCCCAAAAATAAACATTTTATCTGTCTGCATAACTTTATACTTCGTAATTATATTTGTTTATATCATATATCATTGAAAATATTGAAGAATACTTATGATTTAGAATTAGGATGTAAAATGATGGTAAGTTCTTCCATCTTCTACTGATATTTTGCAGGATTGATTCTGAGTTTTCTTCCCCTTAATTTAGTTACACTATATTACTCTGTATCAGGTAAAGATTTAAGAGAGAAAAAGAGACCATTATTAGGTACAGTACCATATTTGAATTCCTATATCTTGATCGTTGATACTTAGTATCTTAATTAGTAGTTCTATACATGAACACAAGTACACAACCATTATACAAACCACGAAACAAATCAATTTCAACCAATACCTTCCTATATGATTCAACCTTACAAGCCAAAATCCTACCCTTTATGGTGTATTTCTTGTATACATGACCATTAGTCATCAGTGACGCCCTGTATCTGTAACATTTATGTCTGCAGGGGACATACTTTGTCCATTTGAGCTGACTCCTGCTACTGTAAAATGTGGGATTTGAAAACTGTTAGCACCTTCATTGTTCATTCCACCACCAACTTTGCACCCATTCATACCATCACAGGTCATGGGGAGGCATACTACAGGCCCGCCACCATTTACGCCTGCATTACTTTTACACTGAGTCTTTTCGCAATCACAATTACAGTGGCAGTTGCATTCAGCAGCCCTACCACCTACTCCTATACTTCCACCTCCACCTCCACCACCGCCATGGTGGGATTGGTGGCCTTTATGGATCTCAGGATTCGGGTTTGGCAAGCCTGCGACTGGCGGGACCGGCAAGGGCCATGTCCATCCTGGTTTTGATACATCTACATCAGGAGTTGTAGAGGGTTGGTGTTTGTTTTGATAATTCTGCGCCGAAGAAAAATGCATCCAATGGGAGCTTATGAGGAACAAAAATCCCAAGTGTGCACAGCTTTTTAATCCTACCATTTTAATATTTATTTCAAATTGACAATATTGATGTTAAGGGTGTTAATATTTATAAAGTAAGAAATCCATTTTAGACAGAAATCGTTTCTTTGCATGGCTTGTAAAAACTTTGCAAGAAACTGTTAGGTTAGCTGCATTCTTTGGCTTTCAATGTGATTTGTTCTTCGTAAGCTCATTTTTTATTTCTTTAATCTATTTTTATTGGTTTGTTGATGCTAAGGCCATAAGGTCCATAGATAGTGTATAATATACTCCGTATGATTTAACTGTATTTGTGTAACTTGTGATTAAAAAAAAATAAAATATGTAAAATTGGTTTCTTGCAAGCATAAGATGATAAGACTAAACTTGGAGGAGTTCCAAGCAATTCTTGAGACCAAATGATAGTTATATGTCCAAAATATTCTCATAAATTAGGGGATGGAATGCCCAGGATTAGATTTTTTTTGGAAAGTAATGATGACCGAAGTAAACTTTACTTATATAATTTTGGGAAATTTTCTTTGGTACTCACGTGTTTTTTAATTTTCTCTATGGTGAACCATAAAAATTTAAATTATCTTGGATAATCATGAATTATTAGTATATATAAATCATAAAATTAATGATATATTTTGGTTAAAATATTTAGCTAGGGTTAGGTGTATTTTTTTTTAATAATTAAATTATTTTAAAAATATTTTTTTAAAAAAAACCACCACTCAAATTCTACCGGCCCAGCCACGCCCTGCCCACCACGCGAGCCCAGACCACCCCGGGCGCCGGCGCGCCTAGACTCCTCCTCTCCGGTGCCGGCGCTGCGCTGAACTCCCCTTCCTTGTCGCGTCTCCCTTTCCTTTCCTTCCCAACGAAACCCCTAAAACCTTATGATAGAATATGAAATATTCTAGGATATTCTGTAAATGATATACTTTGTGTAAATATGTTAATATTATGTTTCTCTTAGAATTAGGGTTGTACACCTATATATATCAATCTAATGAGAACACTCCAATCAAGAGAGATTTACGCAACCTACATGGAATCACAACCAATAGGAATTTTTTTTTCTCTCTCAAATTCCTAACCCTAGTTCCTAGGACCTTCAACGTAGCCTCCACCATGACTCACAGTGATGGTGAAACTCCACCTCCTCCATCTACAACCTTTCACTCGGCCTTCGCTGTTTCGAACATCAAGAATCTCATGCCTATTACTCTCGATCAAGAAGAAAGCCAATACGCTACGTGGGTGGAACTTTTCGAAATCCATGCTTGTGCCTTGAACATCTTGGACCATATAGACAACACCGTTTCTCGCGCCTTCTGACCTCGATGACTCTACCTAGAAACGTTTGGATGCCATTGTTAAACAATGGATATATGGGACCATCTCTAAGGACCTTGTTCACACAATCATGAAGGCCGGTGCAACCGCTCTTGAACTTTGTAAACGCTTGGAGGAGCTTTTCTATGACAATAAGCATACTCGTGCAGTCTATTTGGAGGAACAATTTAACGCCACTCGTCTCGAGAATTTTGCGAACATGTCCGGGTACACTAGGCAAATTAAACTTCTTGCAATCCGGTTTCGGAGAGCAAGATGGTCTTACAATTGATCACTAGTTTGCCTAAGGGAGAGTATGACATCGTGACTGCTATATATGATTCAACAGTCCTATCCCCTTCCAAGTGTCAATTCCAATCGGGTGTTAATTCTAATGAACTGTTGCATTTTGATGGAAGGGATAAGCTCGCTCAATCTGAATTAGGGGGAAATTGATGACGGTTCTGATGAATTCATTAGAATTAAAGATGAGTATTCCTTGCAAAATTAATCTGGTGAAGTTGTACGTGAGGTTTATTTTGCGATTGGGGCTGCTGGGTAAGGGGGAAGGGGGCGATAACTATAATTCATTAATTCATGATTACTATATTTTTTGTTGTTCACCGAAGATAAAATTAAATAATACTGTGAGTACCAAATAGAATTTCCCAATAGTATTTGTTCTTTATGCTGTTTACATTTATTCATATCTTTTTAATTTTTTTTTTTCTCTTTCCAAATTTAGGTATGATTTTTCACCCTCATTTACCTCTTACAAGTTGCAACATTACCCCACCCAACAAATAACAGGTAAAGATAATTGAGGAATGGATGAGGGAAGTATTAATTAATGCTAGATTGCTCGATATTGATTTACAGCATATACCATGACAAGTTTGTAAATAATGTCTAGTTAATACTCCCTCCGTCTCTAATTTTTTGCCCCATTTGACTTTTCGTGGTCTCCAATAAGCTTCTTAAAACAGTTATATCTCCATTTTCATAAGTGTAAAAATTATAAAACCTAATTATCAATTAAATGTACAATGAGACGAATCCAGCACATGATTATATTATCACTTATAGATTAAGAGTTATGGTCAAAGTTTATAAAATTTGACCCAAATTTTTACAATGGGGCAAAAATTTAGGGACAGAGAGAATAGTTATATCGGACCTTGTTTTCTTGCTTTTACCTCCACTCAATCATTTTCCCGACATATGTGCAATATACCAACAAAAAGAAGATATCACAAGACAGTCTCACGATATTAAACGAAATACAAAGTATTTAATGGTACACATATTTTCTAATGGTACAAATTAACTAAATGTGTGCATTTCTTCAACAATGTAGTCTAATGATACCAACAATCGTCTAATGGAACTAAATTATATTCCTACATAATGGTACTAAAAAAACATTAAAAATTAAAAACATAATGGTACTACTTATACATGAATACATTAATTATGTTTTGTACTAATGCACATAGAAGAAAAAGTTATTAACAAGCATTAATAGTGACATTCGTTCCTATTGATGATGATTATTTTATGTACAATATTATGAGAAAATCCTAGTTTATCTTTGAGCCTAATACCATGGTACTTTCATACAATTTTAAAGTTAAAACGTACTTAAAAATAGAAATGTCATACCAACATGTGTTGTTATTATATCATGGATCATTTCAATGGTACTAAGTTTGTTAAAATTTACCAATATGATGTGGTCCAAACTCCTCCCTTCTCCTTTCTATACAAGAACAAAGCATCTGTTAGGGCCTTGCAATAATTTTAATCTTTACGTTTGCTTCTCTCTTCCTCTCAATTTTAGTCACACTAATTTTATGATTTTTTTGCAATACTAGTAAGAAAATTACTCCATATCTTTATAGTAGGGATTGATTTCTTATTGGGTATACATTAAGATTAATCCTTGGTTTATGCACTGAAATTTAGGTGTATAGTTCACATTGACTCATTGTGTATCACTTTTAAAACAACAATTCATTTACCATTGAGCAACCACGCTTTTTATACTATAAATTGTCATTTTATCAAGTGCATTGCAAATATTGTACACTTTAATACACCATCTAATTTGCGCGTTAGGACTTATTGAAGTATTGACCTAAGTATAGGCAAATAGACTTTCTTAATGGAAATTGATGGGTCAATGTGGAGTCAACAACTGTCTACTACATACTTTACACGACTACACCTAGAGCTGTCAGAAGCGGACCCAATCCGAACCCGATTATTAACTGACCCGTCTAAACCCGGAAAAATGATGACTCGAACCCGATATGACCCGACCTGAAACCAACCCTAGACCCGAGTTAACCCGAGTATTTGAGACCCGAACCCGAACATGAACCGACCTGGAGATGATCCGACTCGAATATAACCCGTAAAATATTGACTTGAACCGAACCCGACCTGAACCGAAATTGACCCAAACCTATTTTAACCCGTCAAAACCCGAATTTAACCTGACCTGAATTCAACTCGACCTATTCCTAACCCGACCCGAACTTAACCCGACCTATTACTAACCCGACCCGAATTTAACCCGACCTATTACTAACCCGACCCGAATTTAACCCGACCTATTACTAACCCGAATTTAACCCGATTTATTACTAACCCGACCCGAAATCAACCCGATCCGAAATCAACCCGACTTGTTATTGACCCAAATTTAACTAGCAATATAGTATTACGTCATATATTACAATTTATATGTCTCAAAAAAACTATAAAAGTTTATGAATACCACTACTTTTTGGATGCATGTGCATTCTTTATTTAAATTTAGTAATTACGATTTACGAATACTACTACTTTTTAGGTGCAAGTTCATTCTATATTTCAATTAAGCAATTATGGTTTACGAATACTACTACTTTGTAGGTGCATGTGCATTAATGTAGTTTACAAATACTATTTGACCTTAGGCTTGTTTGTTTTATCTTATATTTTATAAAAAAGAAAAAAAATTTCAAATAAAAAAAAGTTTTTTAAAAAAAAAATTTCGGATAATGATTGAATTGAACGTGATAATGATTGAATGCGAGCATGAGTATATGACAATGACGACCCAATGATAATCTGACCCAAATAATTTACCTGTACCCGGTCATGACTTGACTTGTCTGGACTCGAGAAAGTGGTGACCCGAACTAGAGATGTTAAAAGGCTTTTATTGGTCTTTTATTTTTCTAACTTTATTATTCATTTGCCTATTTAATCTTATTTAAATGTTTTGAATAATGCCATTAAAAAAAAAAACGTGAACTCGGATATGAACCTTTAAAAAATAAACAAGTTTAGATAATTTCAAATAAAATAAGTTTAGAAAAAATAAATTATTGTATTTTAACTTATCTAAACTAAACCTATTTTATCCGAATTTATATGAACTTATTGTATTTTATCTAAACATGTCATCTCGAATATGAACTTATTTAAAATTGTTATCCCTAAAATGAGTGGAATCAATGTGAATAGATTAGAATAGGGTTTGAACTTATCTTCTAAAAATCTAAACTAAACCTATCTTATTGAAAGGAATGGTGTCCTTCCAACAAGTGTATTCTTCCGATAGAGGGTTCAGAATTATTACGGAGCTAATTCTTCAGTAAGGTCAAGTGATCGGAATGCCTAGGTGGAGGCCGCTTCCGATCAGTAATATCGAGGTACAATTGATGTTACAGCTTAATCTTAACTGAACCCTTCGGGTCAAACCCAATCGAATCACCGGTCCGAGACGACGAATTAATCCGAAAGGATTTAATGAGTCAACAGAGTTTTACGAATACAGACGTCGGATATCGAGCCTAGGGCGTCGAGACCGAGCGTCGCAAAATCACAAGCAACAAGTATGAGCGTAGCCGTAACTAGGCTAGGCTAGCTCATCGCAAGCCTAGGCGCACCATGTGTGTGCTAGGCGCACCATGGTGTGCTAGGCACCATCGTAGCCCCTAGCACCACGCACAGCACCATCGCAGTGCTAGGCACATGCGTGTGTGCGTATGCGTGTGCACCATAACACATCAAGCTAGCAAGTTGCACTGGCCTTGCGTGTGTGCTAGGCACCATCGCAGGCCATGCACCATAGCACAGCTAGCTGGCAGGCAGAACTGGCCTTGCGTGTGTGCTAGGCACCATCGCAGGCCATGCACCATAGCACAGCTAGCTGGCAGGCAGCACTGGCCTTGCGTGTGTGCTAGGCACCATCGCAGGCCACGCACCAAGCACAGCGCTAGTGCGTGCTGGCCTGGATGCGCGTAGATGTGCGAGCATGGGCGAGTGGTGCTGGCTGGCTGGGTGTGCGAGCATGTGCGAAGGGTGCAGCAATGATGCGTGTGATGCTGGCTATGCGAGAGCCATGCATGTGCGTGTGCTTGCGATAGCAAGGCAGCAGCACCACGCATGCATGTGCGTGTGCCTGCGATAGCAAGGCAGCAGCGCCCAGCACAAGGCGTGGCTCGCTAGCAGCACGCAAGTGCTGGGCTGGGAGATGCGTGCTGTGCCAGCCAGGCATGCTAGGTGGCTGTGCGTGCTGGCAGCACCAGGTGGCAGCCAGCCCAACTTCCTTGTGAGTGGCGGTTTAGGAGAGGTGGGGACCAAAGCCTCCAAGCTTCCCTTGGGGAGCAAGGCAATGGTCCCCCCATGGGATATGGTCCTCACCTAACCCATTCTCTCCTCTTGCCACTTGTTGCCTTGTGATTGCTTTTGCCTAATTAATTATTTTGGAATTAAATAAATTATTGCAATTGCACATGATCCCACATTGATCATGAAAAGGGGTTTCAAGTCCCCATTCTCTATAAATACCCACTTGGTTGGGATTTTGAGAATACAACCTTGAGTGGAATTAAAAAGGCAACTCTAAGAAAGAGTAAACCTTTGATTCGTAAAACTCATAGTTATTTTGTCCGGGTCTTGACTAACCTTCAAGACTTAGGACGCTCAGGTCAGGTCGAGGGTACGATCCGTCGGAGATCTCGTCTTTTCGGGATTTTGAAGTAAGAGCTCTTTGGGAGCGAAGCACGCGTCAAAGGTATAATTCTTGTTCTTAATCTTGTTTGATTAAGTTTAATATGCTTGTTAATTGTTTTAATTAAGGGGCGGGTCTTGGTGGGTTTCCTTCCGCGTAGTGTCGGGTCACTACGAAACCCTATAGTTATTGGAATTAATATGAACTTATTATGTAGATCTTATCTAAACTTATTAGAACTTATTACCTCGAATGTAAACTTATTTGAAATTATTTCTCTTAAAATAAATGAAGTAATTGATAATGATTAAACGTGAATGTCATTACATGAACTGTTAACAAACCGACCCAAAAAATGTACCCGAACCTGATATGACCTGACCTGAAATCAACCCGATACCCAGATTAACCCCATATTTGAGATCCGAACTCGAACATGACCTGATTTGGAAATGATCCGACCTCATTATAACCTGCAATTTCTTTGACTTGAACCAAACCCGACTCGAACCCGAACATAACCCGACCTGATTGTAACCCGCAAATAATTGACTTGAACCGAACCCGACTTGAACCCGAGAATGACCCGACTTGGAAATGACCCGATCTGATTATAACCCGCAAATTATTGACTTGAACCGAACTCGACTCAAACCCGAGAATGACCAGACCTGATTATAACCCGCAAATTATTGATTTGAAACGAACCCGACTCGAACCCGAGAATGACCCTAACCCGTTTTAACCCGAATTAAACCCGACCTATTATTCACCCGATCCGAATGTAACCCGACAAGATGTATGACCCGACGTTACCCGGCTCAAGCATGACCCAACCTGAACCCGACCCGTATAGGCTACGACATTAACCCGAAATGATCCGACCCGAGTTAACCCGATATACACTTACCCGACCCAAATCCGACCTGTTTAACCCAATTCACAGCACTAACTACACCAAAAACATGGAATAATTGTTTGAAAATAACAACAAATGCTGAAAGCTTACTGGCCGCAGTATGCTTCTGCCTTGATATTTTTTATTCTGTCTAAGGAAATTTGAAAGCTTAAAAAAGATGCACATTCATGAATATTGAAGTGGGTATTTCTGCATAACAGCCTTTTTTCTCATTCAAAGATTCATCTTTTCTTGCTTTATCAAGATTGTTACAGTACTTTCTGGGCGATTAGAATTTTGTACAAAAATCTAATTCACTCTACTACTGTAATACCTGTAAGAAAGTGAGGATTTTTTTTTTTCTTCTGATTTTAGAAGACCTAATTCTGAAGAAAGTCTTCAGAAGTCAAAGAAAGTAAGCATTTTTCTTTTAATTCTTCTCCTTTGTTATTCATGCAATTTCTTTTCAGTTTATTATTTTAGTTGGTGGTAATTAATGTGAAATGTAATTAATGATCATGGGTTATCAATGATTTGTTTATAGTTAATAAATTTAAAGCTGTTGCGATCTTATATATTTGGTGGTTACCCAATATTAGCATTGATTTATTGGTATCATTGTATGTTTCTGAAAATGGGTGCTACCACTTATGGGTTGGTTACTTGGTTTGCATAAGTCCATAAAAGTATACTATGGTAAATTTACTGTCTGATCATAATAATACATTGTTGTTGATTTCATATTTTTTTTGGACTATACTATTGCAAGTTATAACTGGCTGTATTGATAACAATAGTTGAAAGAATTGAGGAATTAATCGGAGAATTTAAGTATTATCAATTGAAATTGGGATTATATAGCCTACAGGAAATGCTGGTTTTTGATTTGTTCATTGTTGAAACCCATTGTAGCCCACTTGTGAGTGTCCCATTGGAGAAAGAGGAGAGATGGTTCCACTTTATAAGGTAGGGGAGTTACTCCTCCTATTGCCAATTGGTTTTCATATGGAATCTCCTTTGGCCTTATTTGTGGACCAAACTATCCTCCTCCTTGTTCGGGTTGCCCAGGCCCATTTCATATTCTTTCAATCTTGAATTGAGGCCATATATCTCATTGCAGTTATGTTATGAACTTCCTCCTTAGGAGATATGTTATTCCAGCATCTATTTTCTGTTTGCATATGTTGTGGTGATACTGTGCCTTGAAATAAACCAACTTGGCGGTTGCGCATTACATCTAACAGAATTTCTGTGAGTACGGAGTACTCTGTATAATTTTCTGTTTGTAATTGTGCTTAGCTGACATTTTTTCTGTGGCTCTGAAGCTTTATCTGAATGGAGGATCCATCGGTTACAAAAGATATGGACAATGAAGATACGGCATTGAAGAGTCTGCTTGATACTTTTGGTTCTGCATTCTCTCTTGAGGAGATTGCTTCTGCTTATTGCAAGGCAGGCCAAGATGCTAGCCTGGTTGGTGATATTTTGTGTGGAATGCGGACAGGTCCATCTGCCAATGCAACCCATGTATCAAAGGGATTGATAAATAGTGAAATTTCTTCAAAACCTCCTATTTATAATGATTATGACAAGTCATGTGAAGCTAATAGGAGCAACTCTCAAGCCTCAAAGTTGAAAAGAAATCCTATATCGATGGGTACGAATTCTAGTTATGCTGGGAAGGAATATGTTTGGCGCGTTGCTGGATCAAATAAAAGTCCTAATGCAACAAAGCCTCTGAAAGTAGAGGTGCATTCAGTGGCTCCCGTTTCAAAAGTTCATGGGAAAAGTTGTGTTTGGCGTATTGCCAGATCAGATGGAACTCTCAATGGGACAGAACCTTTGAAACCAGAGGCAAACGATTCCTCAGTGCCTGTCAATACTTCTGAAGAATCCTTGCTTTCAAGGGATGATAATTTGAGTTTTTCTGACAGATCCTCGTCAGCAAGCGATGTCAGTTCAAATGATGACATTGAGAATTTTCTGTTTGAAATGCTTGGACATGGATCTCAACTGGAAAGAAGTGCTATTCGAGAAGTCTTAGGTAACATTTTGCTTTCTTTAATTATCAAATTTTACCCTGTGGGTATACTTGTGCTATTCATCATTACGAGTGGAGTACAGTCTGAATGTAATTGATCATTTAATTCCGTGGGATTCCGCCAACTTCTATCTTTGTCAATTCTTAAAAACTTTCCTTAGTAAATTAAATTTGATTGAAGCACTGTAGATTACTCATTTTACATTGTATTTAGTTTAGATATCTGTTAATGCCTAAGATTGAATTTATTTTAATGTAAAAAAGAAAACTATAATAGCATATTTTTGACTCTTCTTGTGCAGTACCCTTGAGAAATAAGTTGAGCAATTGTTTATGTGCAACAACTAATTAGGTTTTTAAATTTGAATGAATTTCAGGTGATTGTGGACATGACATGAAGAAGGTATGATTATGTCTCAAGTTATTGATGTTTCTTTTCCCCATCCATATTTGTCATTGGGATGCTCACTGATTTTCCTGCACTTCATGGTCTTAATAGACCTATTTGCTTTCTATGTGTAATTGTCAAGGATTTTTTATGTTCTTGAGGATGAAGCTATGGTATATCAACTGTTAGAACACCAGTTATTGATGTCTATTAACCACAAAAGTGAATGATATGAACTACCTGCAGAGATGTACATCAAAGTAAAAAACATAAAAATAATAATAAAAATAAAAAATAAAAAAACTTTTTATGGATGAAATTTTTGAAAATAGGAAAGTTTTGTCAAATTACCTTATACATAGAACTTTATTCAAATAACTACCTTAGTTGTAGATAAATAGTCCAAAGGTGATTAACAACAAATATTCCTTTTGGTTTTATAACAATCACAAGGGTAGCTAAGTAAAGTGACTAGGTGCTGTTGCTAATTAGATGACTAGGTGTCTGCAAGATAAATAGTTGCTGGCCTCAGGGGTGAGATTGAGGAACTTTCCTGAAATACCTAAGTTAGCTGGGTTGTGATTAGTGGAAATTGGAGAGAAAGGGGATAAATTTTGTTTTATGTGTGTAATATATAGCACATAATTTGCCTCATATACGATCCTTAATTGCTATATATATGGGTGCAATTGGGTCTTGGACACATGGCAATTGTGTAGTATTGGATCTTTGCTGTGGATACATGTCAAGTTTTATGTTGTCAATTCAGATGACATGTGGCACTTGGGTCTATCACATATGGGTTATTGTGGTCTTCTCTCATTTGTCAGCTCTCTGACCTAGTATCCAAACAGTTGGAATCAGGCTCATGAGTAATGCATTGGACACTGGTTATCACTTATCAGGTTGCTGCCTTGATGGCAATCTGTTGACTAGTGCAGCGCAGCTGTGCTTGCAGAACTACAAAATTGTAGACAGGCATTTCATGTCTCATTGATGAATTTTGCTCTACAAGAGAAGGCTGGAAGGGCTGATATTTCCATTTTCTAGTTTAATTATCCTTTTGTGGCAGAAGTATCTGATTAATCTTACGTCTGCCTTTTTTTTTTTTTTTACTTGATGCCTGTTCCATTGTCCCAAAACATATGCATCTTAAGTCCTTAACTTTTTCATTAATTTAAGATAATCATACGTGCTTATGTTTGCTTAAAAATTGCAGAGCATGGAGACATTGCTAGCTCTTATGGCTGCAAATCTTGACAAAAGGAATCCATGTGAGGTAAATTTATCATTTGAAATGGTTTTTCCACTTATTTAGGCTATTATCTAGATGTAGAGAAGACTTTCAAAAGCAGTTATTCAAGTGTATATAAATAATATTTTTCTTTGGTCTTTCTGTGAAATATTTACATGCTTTGAAACATATATTTTTAACAAACTTGTTGTCAAAGTTGCAGTTATTGACCCTAGAATTCTCAAAAAAAAAAAAAAAAAAAAAAAAAATTAAAAAAAATATAGGGAAGGCATTTTCTTTTATGGAGAAGTGTAAAAGATTAGGAGTGTAAGACGTTGAGGAATAGACATGACGCTTAAAAGTGGCAAGGAAAACAAAAGAATTTGAGTTAATTTCATGAATGAAAAATTTATAACCCAAACAAGTGATATGCATTTTTTTTGGGAAGTCTAAGGTCCACAATCTTAACTAGAATACTCAAGTAGTCCACTGGTTCTATAAGTTAAGAGCAGTTGTCCATTGACCCTAGATACTCATGATATCTCCCCTGATTTTTGTTAAGTGTTTAATGTCCTCTGACTCTCTTCATAATCCAAAAGATGGTGCAATTCAATTACAAAAAACCATTAAGTTGAATAACTACTTTGTGACATTAGAAATCATGCCACATTCCAGACCCTATTCCCTCAGAAGGTGGTAGAGACAATCCTAAGCTGGTTGATATCTGTATTGCTAGTCACTAATTGGCTTACTGCTAGATCAGAGCTGATGGTTACTTTTTAAGTGAATTAAGCTGACCAATTAGTTATTTTAGTTGGATGGAAGTTAAGGATTACACAAATGTAGTGTTTTTTGTAATGTGACATCAGGTATCATTTCATTCAAGGTAGAGGCAAATGGAGAAAGTGAAAATGTGTGCTTTCTTTTTTTATAGTTGCTTCCACTAGGTTTTCTCTGCACTTTGAAACTTTGCTCACCAAGTTATAAGCTATTTTAAATGCACACCTGATAGTCGCAGTATCTTGGACCTTTTTCAAACTTTCCTATTACTAAAACTGGATGTCAGATAATATTGCTATCAGCTTGTCAAAGAAAATTAATAAATTAAATTCTACATATAGCCGATATATGCAATATCTGAGGAGCTGTGACTAGTGACAACTTAAATTTCTTAGCATATCTCTTTTAGTTTTTATTGCCTAGTCACATTTCCTGCTTAAATGAACGAGACTATTTGATGTTTGTTTCACTAATCAATAATTATGCTTTTTTTTTTTTTTTTTTGGTTAAAACCTACAGGGAATTAATCTGCAGACGAATTCCAAGAATCTTTCATTTGAAAATCAAGTGCAAAAACAAAGGTCTGCAGTGAGTTCTACTCTTAAATCTCCCCAGACCCACTCCTTTTACCACAAGGAGGAATGAAGTTGCCCCACCTATATCTTTTTCCTGAACACTAGAAATCTGATTTGGGGCAATAAATGATCCTAGGCTAAGAGTATGAACTAGTTTCTGGAGTAATAATTCCGCCCTGGGAAGAAGAGGGGTTTTCTTGAGCTTCAGTAACCACTTTTGGTTGTTCTCTGCAGTAATGAGTGTAGGACCATGAGAACCAATTTGATCCCATCAAGGATATCCAGTGATAGTTGTGAGCGAGCAGACTTGATTGCGAGTGCTCCTGTTCTGAAAAATGCTACAAGATCTTGGGCAACCAGAGAAATGGTGACTGAACCTTTGAATGACATTGCTGAGGATTGTGAGGTTAAGGCCACAAGTCTTCACTTTAACAATGTGAAAGGTGTTTTCCAAATTCTAAAATCTGTATGAAATTCTATTTCTTGATTATGACTTACATCAAATAAACTGTCAGTGTGAAGGAATATATGTTTGACAGAATGCACAAAGAAAAACAATAGTGTTTGGACTCTAATGGTTTAAAAGAAAGCTTATTAACCTTATTATAAATCCACAGCCCTTTTAAATAACCTTTAATAAGTATTAAGGTATTTATTACAAAGAAAAGGAAAATTAATTATCATGGCATCATAGAAGAATATATTGCTGCTCTATCCTGCTTTGTTGCATTGAGCAGCCTATGCAAAACCCTTATTTCATAATATTCATAGTATAATCTTCCTATCTATTTTATATCTGTATCTCAAATTGCTGTTGTAAAGCAGTGTTTATATATGTGGACCTTGTTTGAGCATAAATTATTTGAATTGTCAAATTTAGAGCTCTGTTTGTCTTAATTCTTGTATAGTGAAGCTATGTAACAAATTTGTAGATAACAGATGGATCAATCTTCAAATATAAGAGATTAACTATTCTTATTCTGAAGTTTTTATTCCCTCTGTCACTAATTAGGAATTCTTTCAAGAAACTAAGCTATATACCATAACTGTTTTTAGCTTCTTCAAAAATTGCAGTCTAAAACCATTCCACAACACCATTTCAGTCTGTTGGACGTCTTATGTAAGAGTATCACTGAGAGCGGAAAGTATATAGTTTAAATTAATTGTAAAATGCTCTACCATTCTGGAGATGCTTGAAATAGTAACATGGTCCATCATTTAGGGTTGGATAGTATTTTCTAGTTTCATGTGGTGATGCTTTGAAATTGTAACAAAGTTGTTCCTCATTTGGACTTGGCTTTGCTATCTGATGGAAGATTTAGCATCTCAGTGTATTGTTAAGAAGCTTTTATTTTGTGTGCTTTGTACCTGACAATGGATGAGCGTTCTTATTATAATCATAATATTCTGTTATGTAGATGAAGCCAAAGAGGGTAGCTATTATATCCTTCGCAAAGCTGTAAAAGAACATCGCGAGACAATGAAGCAATATTATAAAGCTGTAAGTTTTCTTTGGTAATTTTGTCCAACCATGAAATCTTTGATAAAAATTGTCTACTGATCCATGATGAATACCCTTTTTTCTCTTAATGGTCACTGAAGGTAGCTACTGACAAGAATTTATAATTTCCTTACAGGCTGCAGAAGCGTTTGCAAAGGGTGATCGTGGACGGGCGACATTACTGCTGGAAAAGGTTGGAATTCTTTCTTCTTCCAGGTTAAGCTGATCAGTGATGTGTTTAGAATATGCAAAAACAGTTGTGTAAATAATACTAATGCAATTGAGCATCTGTTATATCAATAGTTTTCCTTTGGTTTAAATTCGACAAGAATTTATCACTTTATTGACAACATTTCCATCAACATGAGACTTATAAAGCTGTAATCATGCATGTTAAAGTTAGTAAAACACTTAGGAACGAGGCATATACAAGTGTGTGATTTTTGCCATGTTGTGATTGCTGTCACTGCAAATGGTTAATTGTCTGGCATTCAATTTGGCTCTTCTAAAATGAATTTTCTTTTCTCATGGTTCATGCGGAGTAGTTGTTAAATAATAAAATCTAATTAAAAACCAGAATACTTTTGGCCTTTCTAGTGATTCTACCATCTATTTCTGGATATAGGGACAGTTCTATTACAACAAGGCTCGTGAAGCTGATGAAGAATCAGCCTCAAAAATTTTTGAGACCAGGTGAAATTTGATAGATACTTGGATTTTGGTGTGCCTTGAGGGCCCTTGACCCTTTTTTATAACCTTTATTTTTTCAATGGTGGTAGTGGAGATGGCAAGATGCAAGAAGAAATGTCTCTTGACTTGCAAGGTCACGATGCTAAAGAAGCAATTAGTCTTGTGAAAATTCACCTTCGTACATTATCTGGCATTCCTCGTATGTCATCATTTTTTCCTATTTTCTTGTCGTGACAATACATGTAGGTTGTGGCTATGACCTTGACTGGCCATGTTTTTTTTGTTTCAGTGGTTAGGGATCTGAAAATTATTATTGGAACTGGTGATCAAGATGCTGAAAAGCGCAAGCGACTGGTATGTCCTGAATTTGCTGAATACTATCGGTTGTCTCAAACTCTTTGCTTGTTCAAAGTTCTCGTGATGCATCCCTTGTTGCGAATTATGTTTGATAAGCATAATAGACACAATGAAGATCACCACTTTAAAAGTAGTAACTATATTGTATCTATCTCCTCATCTAGACCAAAGCGGCAAAGCCTGATATGCATGTTTATCTTGTTGATCCTTGACAAAGTTTTTTTTTTTATTTATTTTTTATTTTTTACTTTTCTCTTCAATCTTCAATTATAAACCATATGTAAGAACCTCAAGTGTAAATAAGGAAGCTGATTAGTATGTTCTGACATCTTAAAAAGCGAGTAGGACTTTCGTATGCTCCAATCCAATGTAAATTTTGTCTCAAATCGCGAAAGACGTTATTTTGTGCTACACTTTCTTTTTGTGCCCCTATTTTTTCAAGGCAAATTTCTTATTTTTGTGCTCTTATATGGCTGTTCTAGTTGGTTTAAATCTGCATTTCATTAGGAGAAATTAAAATAGCTAAAGCATAAGGTGATATTTTGTCTTTTGTTTGACAGATTTCAAAGCTATTGCAGAGGGAAGCCATTAGATGGATTGAAGATGAGACTTCCGGTGCATTCTTGATACGCTTAGATGAAATCAACCCAAAACGCCTTAGCTTTGGTCGAAAATAATACGAGAATATTATACACATGGGTTTGAATCATTTTGAATTCATCCAAAGGCCATTTGCGCTTACTTCTTGTTCATGAAGAACCCAATATAGGGTCATTCATTTTAAAGGCTATTTCTATGGCTGTTGATTCTTAAGGTAATTATTGTAAACTGATCAAGATTCGCTTGCACAAGCTTCCTAATTTGCGATGCTATTCATTCTTTTTGTTTCTCATGTATATTGGTATTCTTTAGTGTCAAATACATGAGAAGAAGCTCCCAAAGAGTGATTTAAAGAGTTGTAATTGGTAAAAAAGGTTCCTGATGAACAAAAGTACAACTTATTTTTTTAAGTTCCCAAAGAAATGAAAGAAATTACAATTGCAATTTTTTGAAGCTAAGGATTTGAAACTATTTTAATTGGTTGAATGAAAGTCAAACGACATCTATAATAAAGATTTGAAACTAGTATGATTGTGTTTATGTAACTAATGTCATTTTTTTTTTGTTCATTAGATGATACAACAATTGCTTGAACAAAAACTTTTGTCTACATTGGATGTACAATAACATCAATGCACATCTAATATTTTTGTAGGTAACAAGAGGTGTAGTTATCCATTTAAATGATAATAATATAATGCACATCTAATAATTTAAATTGATAATAATATTAATGCACATCTGAAAAAAAATTAAATTGAGGTCTTCTTTGAGTACCATCTTAAAATAAAGTATTGAAATATGTGTAGTTATCCATCAAAATCCTTTTTTAAAAGTGATTTCAGCTACCTATATACAAAAAAGAGTTCTACTGAACATCTATAAGTGCTAAAGTCTACTCAGGAATCAGGATCTTCATTACCCTTTAAGAAAAAGCTAGCAAGAATTTATTCAAGTCTATAAAATGATGTGGTATGTTTAATAGAAACCAATACTCGGTGATTTCGATTTTAGTTGCTATAATGCAAGTTGTAATAGCGGTCAATTGACCAGATTGGTAAATAAAAAAGATTCTTAGCGACAATTTGGTAAAAAAAAACTTACTCCGGTGACAATTTGGTAAAAAAAAGCTAACCTTAAGCGACAATTTGGTTAATAAAATAATCTAAGGCGAAAATTAACCCAAAATATACAAAAAATTATGATAAATTACTCGCGAATGCTTAATTTAGTTCGTTTTTCTTGTTTTTTTTTTTTACCAACCCTTTTTATGGAAATAACAATTTGAAGAAAAAAAATGTTAAGTATCAATTTTTCACTTAAGTTTCATACTCCTTGTTAACGAAATTTTTTTAAAAGGGGTTGGAAATAAAAAGGGATGACATATTAATTCAAAATTTTAAATGGGAAAAATAAATTTAAAAACACAAAAATAAATTAAATTAGGATTTTTAAAGAGTCCTTTCCCTAAATATTGTTGGGAAAACACGTAATTCCCAAAATACAGCCAATCTTTTTTTAATTCCCAAAATACCGTCCACGTCAGCTAAGGGAAAAAACCGGGTTTTTTTTTTTTTTTTTTTTTTTTCGGTCCAGCAACAAACCGCTACTTGAAGTAGCGGTGTTCTGGGAATAAACCGCTACTTGAAGTAGCGGTTTCAATTTCATAGACCGCTACTTCGCTACTTGAAGTAGCGGGTTATTCATGGAACACCGCTACTTCAAGTAGCGGTTTTCCATTTTATGTAAATAAAAAGAAAATTATTTTACCTCCATTGATGAACCTCCACTTCAATGTAATTCTCTCTTCTCTTATTCTCTCTCCCCTCTTCGTTTTTAATTTTTCATCAATTCTATAATCTTCTTACTTTGTAATTAATTAATTAATTAAATTGATTAATTAGTTTGTAGTTATTATATTAAATTTGATGGAATAAACAAAAATTGGTGCAAAAATAATGGCAGGAAGAGGAGAGATTCTTCTCCCAACGAAGAAGAAGATGATGATGACGACAACACCGGCGACGATGACGACATCAAAGAAACTTAGGCTTCGCCATTTCCGATAGAATTTTAAGGTCGTGATTTTAATATCGATTTTACTCTGCTTCTTCGGACTCTGGAAATTTCAATAATTTTTTTTTATTACATAAAATGGAAAACCGCTACTTGAAGTAGCGGTGTTTCGAGACTAACCGCTACTTCAAGTAGCGGTGTATGAAATTGAAACCGCTACTTCAAGTAGCAGTTTATTCCTAGAACACCGTTACTTCAAGTAGCGGTTTGTTGCTGGACCAATAAAAACAAAAAACCGGTTTTTTTTCCGTTAGCTGACGTGGACGGTAATTTGGGAATTAAAAAAAGATTGGCTGTATTTTGGGAATTAAATTAATTTCCCAACATTGTTTAGGGAAAGGACTCATTATTTTTACCAAATTGTCGCATATGGTTAGCTATTTTTATCAAATTGTCGCCGGAGTAAATTTTTTTACCAAATTATCGCTAGGGGTCTTTTTTATTTACCAATCTGGTCAAATGGCCTTGCAATAGCCAATAGGCCATGTTTTATTTTTGATAGTATTACCAAACAGTTATCTACCCATGAAAATTAACATTGAAACGAATATAAATTTATCACATGTGATTAATTATTTATAAATCAATGATAATTTATGGTTAAAATTATTAAAATTTAAAGCGGAAAAATATTCTCCATAATAAGACAATATAACCTTTGAGGAATGAAGGGAGTACCCGTTAATCGTTACTGTATTAGTGCTTCCATGCTTCTCGTGTTGGACTCTTGGGCCGGGCATAAATCAGTGACTCTGCAATACTCTTCCACGTTAGGAAATTTGCTGGTTTCTTCGATTTTCCTTATTGAGAGCACTTACATATAATTCTTCTTATTATTGATATTAATCAAGCAACATATACATTATTACATAATAATGATTTAAAAAAATGTTATCAAGTCAATATTGATGATAATGGTAATGAAATGGAGGAATTGTATTTAATTTGAAGAGTTTCCTAACCTATAAAACCCGTAACCTTACTACTTACAAGCTACAACATAAAAGGGTCGAGGGTAACAATAACATCACCGTCCCTCCATTCGTATACTCAAGCTATCGATCACCACGAAAGTTCTTAATGGCCGTCGGGACTGTGAAGTGGTTCAATGATAACGCGGGTTTTGGATTCATAGGCCCCGACGATGGTGGTGCTGAAATCTTTGTTCATGTCTCCGTGAGCCAAGCAAACATGGCCGAGGGTCAGAAGGTCGAGTTCGATGTCCACCAAGGACCTAACGGCCCTGAGGCCTTTAATGTTAAAATGATTTGAGTCAAAAAATGAATGTTATTTGGTTACAAGGCTGGTAATTGTTCAAATGTCTTCCCTGTTTTCCTTTATATGTATGTAACTTTTCATATCATACTAAACTAGTTTTTGGGTCCGGTTGATGCCCCGGATTATTGCATGGAACTGATCATTAATATACGTTGTAATTTATGATTCAATTTTCTTGGATTATTAAATTTGTAATCAAATCTTGTGGAGAATTTTTTTTTTTTTATTTTTTTTTTTTTTTTAAGTGCATGACATGCAATTTATGATTCAATTTTTTCTTGTAATTAAATTTGTTGTTCATATTGTTATTTGTTACATATTAATATTTTATATTCAAAATATTGCATAAAAAATCACATAGCTTGGTGGTAAGACACTTAGCTTTAGAATTAGACGTTGCGTGTTCAAATCTTGTGGAGAATTTTTTTTAATTTTTTTTATTATTATAAGTGCATGATATGCAATGAATAACAAATGGAAGGGATCGGAGAGCAACGTGGTGATGAATAGTTGAGTGCAAGAAGTATAGGAGTTATATTTCCCTATCCGCTCTTTGCAGATGCAGATGAAGAAGAAGGCTCGAGCTCGATAATAGCTCCTTTCTTTTAGGTCTTGTTGATGTCATCTTTTCTTTTGTTTCAGAAGCTGAGATTGGACCGGCTTTCCCTTCTTAACCAGGCTCAAGGGAAGTGAAAGAAGCCTTGGTGCATAGCGAGCATAGCGAAAGTGAGTTCTTTCTTACTCTGACAAGTGATAAAAACCTTTTCATTTAAGTGTAAAGGTACCTCTCTTTAGATTGATGCCCGAGATCCTTCCTTTTTGAACGATAAGGCTTGCTTCGACCGAGCGTCTCTGCCCTTTCTTTGATCAACCGAGCGACTCGTCCTTAATCTCAGACACCGCTTTCAGTCTTCGAAGTGGAACCTTCATTTGATGCTCGAGAGAGAGGTGAAATGCAAGATCGGATTGGATTTATGAGTGATATGCTCTCTTCGGTTCTACGTCAAGCAGCTCTTCCTCTGGCCTTATCACACTACGTAATATCTCACTTTGCGCCCTTAACGTTACTAACTCTCGAAAGAAGCCCACATACCCACTCTTCTTTCCCCGCCCCCTTTTCTGGGGCGGGCCTCGTCTTACATCCCACCTATATAATAGCTAAAGCAGACACGAAGTTCGCATCTCACAAGGGTAGTCTATGAATTTTGCTATATTAAAGTACCTTTGCAAAATGCTTTAGTACTAGGTCACAGTGGTATATTTTTAAATCCTAGCAGTACATTATTGTTATTCAGTAGTATAAATCTATTAACCAATGGTATATACTACTATACTAGTAGTTGATTTCAGCCTAAGTGTTAGAAAAAATTAAGTTAGTTTTTGAAAGTGTCAACTTTTCAGTGGTATTATTATAAGTCCCAGTGGTATAAAATTACTGTATAGTGGTATAAAACTAGTATTCAGTGGTAGACCTTAAATAAACAGATTTTTCTCAAGCGAATTCACTAGTTGTTTTTATTAATCTCTATAATTTCTTTTATTAGCACTACAAGAAAAATAACTTGGGCCGTCAAAACAAATCGTCGCCCATGGCACAATTTGTAGTGTCGCCTTATCGCCGTCGCCCAAATTTGGGCGTCGCTTTTACAATAATTGTCGCACAAAGTGGTAGTTTTGGACGTCACTTAACTTTAACGTGGCCCTAGCCCTAATCTGGGCGTCACTTTTTAAATTCCGTGGCCTATATTATCACATTTGTGCCACATTTTTCTGAAATTCAACACCAATGTATGTTCATTTGTGCAACACTTTCTATATATTATGTTGCCCACTACCCCTAGCTTGACGTACGTTGAGTTGACTTTGGGCAACACTTCTAATTTCTTCCCCTTTACCCAAGCATCGACCACCATAGAATACAAACAATCCCCGACCACACCAACCACCACCACCCACCTGCCGCCACCCTAAACCACCCACCGCCACCCTTAAACCACCAAATTTACACAAAACAACACAAAACTACTCAGAAACACTAGATCTGAAATCAAACCTACCCAAAAAAAACAATAATCAACTTGAAATAAACA